ATGAAGGGACGCCTCGAGAGCTTGAAGCTTTCTTGGTGGACAGTGCTGGGTGGAACAAATATGGAGTAGATACGGTTAGATGTTATTTTCTGGTGCTTTGCATCGATGATTGACTGATCTCTCGTATCGAGAATCGCCTCTAGTCCCCAATTTTTGTTATGTTTCTTCCCTTGCTTGGGCATGTGTCTTCTGATCATGGTAAGGATATTCTTCTGCAGTGTAAATGGATGGCTGTTGGTGGTCGGGTGTTTTAGACGTGCAAACCGAGACACACACAGACTTTGATTGTCAAAGCTGTGAAATGTCATGCATTTGCCGGCCAAAATCACGTTCGTATAAGCCCACGTCTCACCCTTGGTTGAACCCTACATATTTCTTGTCATAACAAAAGGCTGCATGCACTGTACAGTATTTCGCGTATGTGTTGAGTTTTCGGCCGCGTAGCACCCCAGCCCGATTTGGAGACGTGAAACAAAGGGGTATCTGAGACCAGCTTGTCAATGGTTGTTTGTGGCTGCCGGGGGGCGGCGCCTCCCCCTGTCCCGGCGTTGAGAACCGCTGCCGTTCTCAAATATTACTGGATAAACGCCGACATTTGGGGGGGCCGGGTGCCCCTGAAGCCCGGCATACAGCAGATGAAAGGGAAAAAAGTGAAAGAGAAAAAAACTTGCAGAGGTGCCCAGTGTCTGGGGACCCTGTCGCGGATCCTTCTTCAGCTGGTAGGGCTCATGATCCAGCGAGAGGGGAGCCCTGAGGGCCCTAATGACCCAGGACCCAATTGGACTTGGTCCATACCTAAGGTAGAGAGAAAAACTTGAGTACTTTCGCCATGACTGAAGACGCGCTGCTGGTGGATTCACGGCCCCTAAGTTCTCCAAAGCCATGACCCGCCGTGAGTGGGAAGAGAAAAAAAAAGAATCGGGGACCCCTTTTGTTGCTGACGGTATCTGAGTCCCGGCTTGGTATTTCTGGGATTGTGCTTGGATGGCAAGGCGGACAAACCTCAAATAGCAACAAAACCTAGCCTAGCTAGCCTAGTACATGAGGAAAAAAAGGAAAAGCACACCATGATAGTGGATATCACAGTGTAATTTTTAACCATCTCGCACTCACACGAGCTTGAGCAAGAGCCAAGTCCGACAGGGAAGGAACAAGGAACACCCACCCTACCCATGATCCCCGAAACCTCGTTCGTCAATGATTGACTTCAACCTCTCTTTCTAGTCGTTCCCTTTCTCTCTCTTTTTCCTCTTCATCATTTCTCCACCGACTCTCGTTCCAGTCCCTATTATAACCACGGCCCTCCCACCCCCGGCCCAGGCTTGCCCTTCTTTTGAAAGCTTTTGTTTGTTTCCTAGCTCCTAGGTTTGATCTCTCTCTCGCTTCCTCATTTTCACCTCAGGTAGCACAAATAACCACCAACTTGTTCCTGTTCGTCTTCGCTGGAGAAGACTGCAGATCACCTTCGCTCTTTTGTCCTATACTTGCAAAAAAGAGGAGGAGAAACACATGGGATCGTTGTAGCGTTTTGTCTGCATTTATTTCCTTGAATCTACTACATCATCGGCATACAAACACAGCATTAAGCCGAGCATTGGCATATCTAGCTTGGAGCAAGTCTTCAGCAGAAAGATAATCACCCCCATTCCTACCTGACTCCTAGACACCCTACGAGCGCAAGCAGATCGTTGCGTCCAAGGATTTGATATCCTACCGCCGTCTCATATCCTGCTAGCACTGCCCGACCTCCAATCTTCAAACGCCTATCAGTTTCATCATCGGCCTCGACTCACGCCAACGGGTCGATCACCTCTTAAACCGAAGTATTCGGGCCACCACATCGAATACTCCCGCACTTTCAACTCCCTGGTTGGAGTTTGATATATAACTATACTCGAGAATGGTTAATCGCCACGTTTCCTTGTCTCCCCGCAATTCGCGTCACTCTCACACAGGCTTCGTTCCCCTTGGTGGCACAAACAGCAATAACGACATGGGCGACGTTATTCAGCTCACGCAGGTCAAGAGCAATGCCTCTGCCCGGAGTGGTATGAGGAAGGCCGACATGCCTCAACCCTCTACCATGGATAGCAACTCTCCTACCGAGAACGAAAAACTCACCGGTCAAGGTCACCGCGGCCGTCGAAGGAGAATGGGCGATGGCCTCTCTCGCAGCGGTACTGGAGGAGAGGAAACCACACTGAACCCAATGGGTAGACTCTACTACAAAATCATCGGCTTCTCTGTTGTCACCAGATACCTTGTATACGTCGTCCCCGTCGGTCTTCTCTTGGCCATTCCCCTGATTGTCCTCGCCGCCATTGGCAAGAAGGATGGCATTCCTGTTGGCAAATGGAACGGAGATGGTTCCCGGGCTGGCGATGATGGCCCTCCGCTCTTCAAAATCTTCCTCTGGGTTCTCATTATGTGGCTCTCATGCTGGATCGCAAAGGTTGTTGCTTGGTTCTTGCCCTCGCTCTTCATGTTCTTTACTGGCGTCGTCAGCAAGGGTACTCGCAAGTACGCAACTGTCCTCGGAAACCTCATCCTCCCCTTCTCCTTCTTCTTCTGGGCCTTGGCTTCTTATGTCACTTTCAAGAACCTCTGGATGGAGGAAGATAGAGGCAGCAACTACGTCCCATGGGTCCGCACTATGGGCCGTGTCCTTGGTGCTCTTTTCGTTTCTTCAGCTGTTTTCCTTGGCGAAAAAGCGATTGTCCAACTGATCGGTATCTCCTACCATCAGCGATCCTTTGCCAATCGTATCAGGGAGTCTAAGCGTGAGGTTCACTTGCTCGGGCTTCTCTTCGATGCTTCTCGAACCCTCTTCCCTCTCCATTGTCACGAGTTCGCTGATGAGGATGCCATCATTAATGATAGCATTGAGGTGATGCTCCGTGGTAAGAAGGGACACAAGCGCAACGGCTCTGCCACCCCCATGAAGCTCATTGGAGAAGTTGGCAAGATCGGAGACAAGGTTACCTCCGTTTTCGGCAACCTTGCCTCTGAGATCGCTGGCCGACAAGTCTTCAACCCCAACTCCGCTCACTCCATCGTCATCGAAGCTCTTGAGAAGACTAAGTCATCTGAGGCAATGGGTCGACGTATATGGATGTCTTACGTTGTCGAGGGTCACAACTCACTTGTTCTGGATGACTTCCAGGAGGTTCTTGGACCTGCTTACAAGGAAGAAGCTGAGGAATCATTCTATATGATCGACGGCGACGACAATGGTGATATCAGTCTCGATGAGATGGTCCGAAAGGTTGTCGAAATTGGTACGGAGAGAAAGGCAATCGCCGAAGGTATGAAGGATATCGGTCAGGCTCTTCAGGCTTTTGATAAGATTCTTCTCGTCGTCGTTCTGTTGGTCGTTATTTTCGTTTTCCGTAAGTCTCACCTCAGAAGTGTGTTTTGAATTTCACTAACAATACCCTCAGTTGCTTTCTTCCAGAGTAGCTTCATTACCACTCTCACCACTGCCGGAACTACCTTGCTTTCTCTGTCTTTCATCTTCGCGGTTACTGCCCAGGAGTTCCTCGGTTCTTGTATCTTCCTATTCGTCAAGCACCCCTACGATGTCGGTGATCGTGTCGACATCACTGGCACCAGGATGGTTGTCAACAAGATCTCTCTCCTCTATTCTGTTTTCCACCGACTGGACACCATGCAAACAGTTCAAGTGCCCAACATTCAGCTCAACAACATCTGGATCGAGAATATCTCTCGTAGCAAGGCCATGCACGAAACCGTCGAAGTCAACGTTTCTTTCGATACCTCATTCGAGGACATTGAACTTCTCCGCCTTGAGCTGGAGAAGTTTGTTCGACAACCCGAGAACGCTCGTGACTTCCAGCCTGATCTTAGTATTAGCGTTGGCGGTGTCGGTAACCTCGATAAGCTTCTGCTCTATGTCACCATCGCTCACAAGTCCAACTGGCACAACGATTCCGTCCGCGCCAGCCGCCGTTCTAAGTTCATGTGTGCACTTGCCCTGGCTCTGAAGAAGGTGCCTCTCATTGCTCCTGGTGGTGGCGGCGAGCCTCTTGGTGGACCTACAAACCCCTCTTACTCTGTTACTGTTACCGATGAGTTCGCCAAGAACAGCCGTGATGAGGCTGCTAAGGCTACTGATGAAGCTCGCATGGTCCCAACCTCAAAGCAGCAGAACACTGAAGAGAGCCAGGCCCAGGCCGCTGAAGGCTTCAACTCGCGTCCCCCTGCCGCCGGCCTTGGTGTCTGGGATAATAGTGACAACCACACCCTGGGCTCTCACGACGACGAAGCCAACCGCAACCGCGACATCGAGCATTTGCGGACTGATCTCAAGCGTGAGAGCACTCGGGGGCGCCGCAAGGCGGGTGAGGCTATCCCCTCACTTTCTCTCGAGACGGCCCCTCGTGCTAGCATGACGTTGACGCAAGCAAGCCCTCGCAGCCCCCACCGTGGCCCCTTTGATGAAGAGGCTGAGGCTGGCATGGGCCCAACGCCTTACCATTCTAATCTCTCTGCCGGCCCATCTCAGGGTTCTCAAGGCTACCAGCCATATGCCGGCTCTAGCAACCAGTATAATGTCGCCCACCCCCTGCAAAGGCCTGGTCAGGGACCGCCTCAGGGGCCACCTCCCCAAGGACAACCACCCGCTCCCCGGCGCTAGTGGACCTGGAAGTGAGACAGACGAACTGTAACGGCTGATCAGTGTGTACTGAAAGTAGTAATATTGGGGAGGTTATTTGGGACGGAACTGAATTTTTATATGTTGGTATTCGGGTTACTTGAGAGACTAGAACAGTCATCTCCTTTCTTAGAAATCAGATTGGGTCATCCGTATAAAAAAAGACTGGGCGGATGTATCGGTTTATGAAACCCAGCCAGGGGCTGCAGAGCAGCAGCTCTCAATATTCACGAAGTAAAGAATCTAGATTATTATTACACTTCAATCAAATATTTTGAGGATAATTGTTGTTTCATGGAACTTTGTGTCTGCAGAGGCCACTAATTTAACAAACGTGCTCTGGGGGTGGGACATCGCCGTCCTTTGCACCCAACTCAGTCTTGAGTACACGACCGAAGAGTTCCAGCAGAACCTCGAAGCAGACCTTGGTGATGGCAGGATCATAACGGCCCTTGCTTAGCTCGTCACGGATGAAGGCGTGCTGAGCCCACGCGAACTCGTAGAAGCTAGTGGGGACACCAGCTTCGCGAAGCTTGGCACGGATTAGATCACGGCCAGCATCAGGGACGTGAGTGTCCTTTACACCAAAGATCATGGCAACCTCTCCCTTGAACTTGTTGAAGAGATCGATGGTGTGGTTGCTGTTGGTAGGAGCGGCTGATGAAGTGTTGGGCGCATCGTAAGGGCCGAGTGTGCGGGAGTGAATATCCGTTGCGAAGTAGGCAACGCAAGCAGAGATGCGAGGGTCAAGCTGTGCCGAGCTGTTGAGTGATATGAAGAGAAAGTGTTGGGTGAAAGACTTACAGCAGCGCGAACGGCCAGATGGCCACCTAGACACATGCCTGTAGCTCCAATACGGCCTGTGCAGGTGGGAAGTGAGAGGAGGTAATCGACGGTGGCATACGAGTCGGCATCATAGGACTCGAGGGTCTATAACAGTTAGTTAGAGTGAGTACAAGTGAGTGGTGCTGGCTGTTGAGTGAATACCTTTTCGATCTTGAACTTGTTGCCACGATCAGTGTCCTCGGCGTCGTACTTGAGAGGCTCAGGGCCGGTGAAGTCATGGTAAGATGAAGGTGCAGCGACGATGTAGCCTTGACCAGCGATCTGACGGGCGAAGCGGGCAACAGGGCCAGTGACTGGAGAAGTAGAGTGAGCTTGCTCTGATATTGTTGTGATAATAATGTGAAGACTTACCTTGGTAGATCTCGCTGAAAAGACTCACACCAGGGAAGCGTCTGAATGAAGGTCAGAATTATGCAGAGCAAGAGGATTTAAGAGACTTGCGCATTAGGATATCCAGGAATAGTGGGATGAAAGACAAAGATACCTAGTCATGAGTGTAAGCTTCTCATGTCACATATGATGAGAGTTGGGCTGGACATACGCATAGTACCCTCTTTGCCATTGGCAGAGGTTGGGACATCGACGTGAGACTCCTTGATCAACATTTTGCTTCCTTTAGACTTGATGTTATAAAGGTTCAGAGTTGCAATATTGGAGGTTATGGACTGTAGTTGCTTTTATCTAGGTACCTATTCAACCTCATATCATTATCAACTTCCCCTCGATGCCCCTCGGCGGGGTGTTACATACATCCTTCAAGCGAGACGCCTCTGATTGGCCGAGAGCAACATCATTCAAGCTTCATAACTTGATCCGTCCGTTGTGGCACCCGGACCGATCCCGCCAGCACCCGCTACAGCTAGAACCAGTCTCATGAGTAAGCAGTAGTAAGTTCTTATTAGCAGAACGCAGCTGATGACATCCAAGGTCTTGGACGCCTACGGTGCGTGTCCTAGGGCAGCTGCTGCAGTGCAATGTGACCGCTTTTTTAAACACCGAATCACAGAAATAAACATGTGGCAGGGGTATAGCTAGGTAATTACCGTAGAGCACCTGCATATAAGGAGTGATAGGGAGGTGCTTCAGTGGGACCTCGACTGCTAATCCGCCTTCGGACCGTCGAATCCTAGGGGGGAAGAGGCTCGTTCAAGTGAATGAGTACGTACCTCACAACCCCATCATTCGTCGTCACAAGGATCTATCCTGTCCTTCCTTGTCTCTGTCCAGGTGGTCACAACTTTTTGGTCGTCCGACTGCTCTAGTTATTTGCCCCAACAACTCTCGTTCTTGTTTCTGGCTCTTTTCTCCCTCTATACAAACTCAAATAAGGGACACTTCCTTCAGCATATATTCTCACGATAACATAAGCTCATCATATCGAGGGTCGTCACCCGCACTTTATCCACGGATGCACGCCCCAGCTCTCGAATAACTACCTCTACCTACACTTACTTACGTCTACTGCATTTCTCCTTGATATATATCAATCGCATACCATGAACGGCCATTTCTCTGCCGTCGGCGAGGCGCCGGGGGCTGGAAGCTACGAGCACGGCGTCCAGGTTATTGACGAGGATAAGGAGTTCAAGTATGTACTATACAGCTGTCGAGTTGTTCCCCGCCACTTTGTCCATCATGATGTCTACAGTACTAACCAACCCTTCTACACTGCAGCACCCACATCAATGAGTATCTCAACGTTACCGATGTTGCTGCCTCTGGCTTCAATTACCATCTTATCTCCGTCTTCGGCTCCCAGTCGACCGGAAAGTCGACCCTCCTGAACAACCTCTTCGGCACCGACTTTTCCGTCATGTCAGAAACCGAGCGTCGACAGACCACCAAGGGTATCTGGATGTCTAAGAACAAGCGCGAGACGAGCGCAGGCACAAAGATGTCCGACAACATCCTTGTCATGGATGTTGAGGGTACCGACGGTCGGGAGCGCGGCGAGGACCAGGACTTTGAGCGCAAAAGTGCCCTGTTTGCGCTGGCCACCAGCGAGGTCTTGATTGTCAACATTTGGGAGCACCAGGTTGGTTTGTACCAGGGTGCGAACATGGGACTTCTCAAGACCGTTTTCGAGGTCAACCTGCAGCTGTTCCTCAAGGACAAGCAGTAAGCCAAGCTCTACGGTAACCCATTGCTTGTGCGATTACTAACTCCACCTAGGTCAACCCCCAGATCTCTACTCTTCTTCGTCATTCGCGATCACCTTGGCACAACACCCCTGGGCAACCTCCGAACCACCCTGATTCAGGACCTGACTAAGATTTGGTCGTCCATCTCCAAGCCTCAGGGGCTCGAGGGTTCGCGCATCGAGGACTACTTCGATTTTGGCTTTGCTGCCCTGCCTCACAAGATCCTCCAGGCTGATAAGTTCACCGAGGAGGTCCAGAAGCTTGGGTCGCGGTTTACCGCTGGACATCGACACGGCAAACCTGGTCTGCACGGTGATCAAGAGCTCGAGGGTGGTCTCTTCCTTCCAGAGTATCACCGACGAATTCCTGCCGATGGCTTCTCCATTTATGCTGAGGGCATTTGGGACCAGATTGTGAACAACAAGGACCTGGATCTGCCTACCCAACAGGAGCTTCTGGCCCAGTTCCGTTGCGACGAAATTTCGCGAGAAGTTCTGATTGACTTTGACGTCGTAGTCACGCCACTTGAGGAGAAACAGAGCGAAGCTTCCAAGCTCGGTGTCCCGGCCGTTCTGCCTGATCTTGGCCTGGCTGGTAACGATGCTCGCCAGAAGTGCATAAAGGCTTTTGAAGTCCAGGCAAGTCGATACCATAAGGGGGTCTACGCCCGCAAGCGACACGAGCTCGAGGGAAAGATTGATACTCGCCTGAAGGCACTCTACCAGGGCCAATTAGCCGCCGCCCACAAAGCCGGTGTCACTGCTTTTGGCGAGGCTGTTGCCAATAAGGTGAAGGCTGGGCAAAAGGCTGGCGGGAGCTACGAATTCGCTGAAATTGTCGCCAACGAAAAGCGAAAGACACTGGATATCTTTGGTGTTGAGGCACAGAGCTTACTCATTGAAGGTGTCTCATGGACTAACTTCGAGTCGCAACTCAAGCTCTTTGAGAAGGAGCTTGACGAAGAGAGCGCTAAACTACGAAAAGAAGAAATGCGACGACTTGCGACCCGTGTTGAGCGCTGGGTCAGATCTCGACTTGGCGATGCCGTTGGTCTTGAGTTCAACAAGTTGGGCAGCGGCCGAGCCGGCGGTGGTGCCCCCGAAACCGGCGAGAAGCCTGACACCGAGAAGGATCTCTGGGACAGAGTATGGAAAGTCTTCACGGGCGTTGTCAAGGAAGCCGAGGTTCGATTTGCCGAGCGAGCTAAGAGCTTCGACGCTACTCAAGAAGAGGTTGAGATCGGCACATGGCGATTGCGCCGAAAGAGCTGGAACGCCCTTCGAGAAAAGATCGAGGAAGAAGTTATGGAAGGCAATATTCTGCTGAAGCTTCGAGAGAACTTTGAAGATAAGTTCAGATATGACGAGGCTGGTGTACCCAGGATATGGCGTCCCAGTGACGATATTGAGGGCATTTACACCAAGGCGCGAGAGTCTACTCTCACCCTTGTTCCTCTTCTCTCAAGATTCCGACTGTCGGAGACATATGGCCCTCCTGACTTGCCAGGCTTCGTTGGACCTCAGCCCAACGGTGTCCAGGCTAGCGATGAGGAGGACCTCACACCGATTGGAGGTATTGATGAAGAGGATGGCAAGAGCCTCGAGGAGGAGATGACGGTGCTCAGCGAGGGCAAGCGCCAAGATCTTGTTGTACGATTCAAGAAGACTGCTGATGGAGTTTATGTCGAAGCTAAGCGAGGTGCTATTGGTGGCGTTGCTCAGGTTCCTTGGTACTTTTATGGTTTACTCCTTGCCCTTGGCTGGAACGAGATATTGACTGGTAAGTTTTGTCCGGCTATGAATGGCCTTTGTGCTTTGGCTAACAAACGGGCGTTTCAGTTCTGCGAAACCCCTTCCTTTGCCTCCTTATCCTGGTCATCGCCGGAGGTACATATGTTGCATACACGCTTAACCTCCTCGGCCCTATGCTCTCAATGGGCAATGCTGCCATGACCCAGGGTGTCGAGATTGCGAAGCAGCAGCTCCGCGACTTTATTGCCAACTCCGATACAGCACGCCAGGCTGTTGGCATGCCTACGCGCGAGGACAGCGATAACATTAGCATGGATACTTTGGATAGTCGGGGCAAGAAGGCCAACACGACTTCCACGGAGAAGGATGACATTGACGAAATTTAATGTGTAGGGGATGTGTATGAGTCTGAGCAGTGGCGCAGGACCATGTCGAGTATGATTAGCTAACAGGATATAATGTCTACTGTAAAAATAAAAGGGGAATATGTTCGATTCACGCCCAAGTGATATGCAAAGTTTGACTGTTTCGATAAATTCGTTCCCAAATAGATTATAGGGGTATCTAGAATGCTTCCAAGCCAACTGGCGTACCAAACCAATTGCCCAACTCTGATGATTCCTTATCCTTGTCCCCAGAGGTGAAGTAATCAGTGAGCCTGCTCGTTTCGCCGTCGTCCTCAAGCGGCCACTCAACCTTGACACCATTTCCCTTGGCCTCAAGCATATCCTTTGCTGTCCCCCAACTGAACCGACACTCCGACCCCCATCCGAACACCGGGTGCATGTTGCCCTTCATCCATCCAACACAGCGTCCATCAGATGGATATCCGGAGCCCCATGCCATACCCTCGCCATCCTTCTCGTCTTCGTCTGCCCTCGCCTCAAAGAGAACTTCGAGCGCGGCATCACGAGTGACCTTTGCGCATACCGATGCAGCACTGACGCAGGCGTACAAACTATCGGCCTTCTTGGCAACCGTAATTTTGGCTGTGGGGAACACACGCTGCAGCTTTGCTTGATATGCTGCTGGTTGGCCAATTGTATCAACGTAAATCTCCTGGATGTTTACGCCAAGTGCATACACAGCCTTTATAAGATCGACCGTGGCGTCCATAGCTTGAGCATTGAGGTTGTACGCATTTGTAGGTCGGTACATGTTCGCGCCAATATCTCTAGCCGATAGTGAAGCCGTTGCCCAGCCGCAAGAGTCATGGAGATCCGAGCCAGGCGTGCACAGTGTGCGCATAAGGTGTGAGCGAACAGCAGGTGTGAGGACCTTGGAATCGTCAAAGTGATGCTTCTCGCGAAGTAGAGAATCAGAGAGCTCTATAGGGAGGAAGAAGACGCCATAGACCATGGGGCCAAGAACAGGGCCACGTCCGGCTTCGTCGACACCGAGACAACATGGAGTTGCTGAAGACGGATCGGAGGGGTCGCTGGGGAGTAGAGAGGAGGGAATGGCGGAGAAGTGGTTGAATGACGAGCCTGAGAGAAGGGCTTCGCCATGGACTGAGGGTGGGATATAAGTTGTTGAGGAGAGGGTGACTGTCTCGGGGACGTCTTCGGCTGGCGAATCGGTCATTATGGGATACTTTATGATAAGAGAGAATAGTTTATTACGGGTTCGTCAATCGATCGTTTTGATGCTTCTGGTTGTCATGGAGGATGAAGTAAAGATAAAGCCAGTAGTGATAGTTCCAGGAGACGCGTC